TTGCACAAGGGATGAACATGGGGAAATATAATAGCTAAATTCAAATCCAAATACCAAACAAAAACCTCTCACAGTGATAAACATCTACAGAATTCCACAATCAAACATTAGCCAATTTAATAAAAACCTAGGAAGTATGATAACTGATGCACGCATGAACAAAGATCACTACTATTTCTCAGGTGACTTCAATATAATCTCCTGCAAGACCAGGACCCACACGTTACTGAATTCACAAACACTATGAGTAACTGCATGTTGCTACCAACAGTAACAAAACCTACAAGAGTTACAGAGAACTAGTTGTTTCCTACTTGACCACATCTGGACCAACACCATATCCCCTTTAAAATCAGGCATAATTACAGATAATTCCACAGACCACTACCCTACTTTCCTCATAACAACTCTTGGTAAAATACCCCAAGACACTACTAAAGTCACCTTCAGACTTCACAATGAGGCAGCCATTAATAACTTCACAACAGCAGTAACAAACATTGACTGGCAGTACTGGTTCAGACTTGTTATACTGTGCTGGTTGAGACTTGATACACAGTACTGGTTCAGACTTGTTATGCAGTACTGGTTCAGGCTTGGCATACAGTACTGGTTCAGACTTGTTATACAGTACTGGTTCAGACTTGTTATACAGTACTGGTTCAGACTTGTTATACAGTACTGGTTCAGACTTGTTATACTGTACTGGTTCAGACTTGTTATACAGTACTTTTCAGACTTGTTATACAGTACTGGTTCAGACTTGTTATACAGTACTGGTTCAGACTTGTTGTACAGTATTGTTCAGACTTGCTATACAGTACTGTTCAGGCTTGTTATACAGTACTGGTTCAGACTTGTTATACTGTACTGGTTCAGACTTGTTATACAGTACTGGTTCAGATTTGCTATACAGTTACTGGGTCGACTTGTTGTACAGTACTGGTTCAGACTTGTTATACAGTACTTTTCAGACTTGTTATACAGTACTGGTTCAGACTTGTTATACAGTACTGGTTCAGACTTGTTGTACAGTATTGTTCAGACTTGCTATACAGTACTGTTCAGGCTTGTTATACAGTACTGGTTCAGACTTGTTATACTGTACTGGTTCAGACTTGTTATACAGTACTGGTTCAGATTTGCTATACAGTACTGGTTCAGACTTGTTGTACAGTACTGGTTCAGACTTGTTATGCAGTACTGTTCAGACTTGCTATACAGTACTGTTCAGACTTACTATACAGTACTGTTCAGACTTGTTATACTGAACTGGTTCAGACTTGTTATACAGACCTGTTTCAGACATGTTATACAGTACTGATTCAGACTTGTTATACAGTACTGGTACAGACTTAGTAATGTTCTGACTTGTTAAACAGTACTGGTTCAGACTTGTTATACAGTACTGGTTCAGACTTGTTATACAGTACTGAGTCTGACTTGCTATACAGTACTGTTCAGATTTGCTATACAGTACTGGTTCAGACTTGCTATACAGGACTGGTTCAGACTTGCTATACAGTACTGGTTCAGACTTGCTATACAGTACCGGTTCACACTTCCTATACAGTAATGTTGAGACTTGCTTTATAGTACTGGTTCAGACTTGCTATACAGTACTGGTTCAAACTTGCTATACAGTACTGGTTCGGACTTGCCATACAGTACTAGTTCAGACTTATTATACAGTACTGGTTCATAGTTGCTATAGAGGACTGTTTCAGACTTTCTATATAGTACTGGTTCAGACTTGCTATACAGTAAAGTTCAGACTTGCTATACATTCCACTCCAGATACTAATGCCGGAAAAAAAATCCTCCCCCCCAGTACCAACAATACCACCAGTCCGATAACATTCTTCTTTGCAAATATACAGGGTCTAAAGCCAGCAACAAACAACAAAATACCTTTCATCCGTGGACTGCTTGCAGAGGCAAAGACAATGTTCGCGGCTTTCACTGAGACCCACATAAAGGATCACTTGGACAACGAAATATGGATCCCAGGTTACAACCTATTCAGATGTGACAGAGTGAACAGGCAAAAGGGGGGGGGGGTTGGCCTGTACATTGCAGAGTCACTTGTTTGCACAGAACTGCTAAATGCCTCAAATGATGTAGAGGAAGTTTTTGCAGTAAAGGTCGAAACCAAAACCTAGTCATTGTGGTAGTCTACAAGCCTCCTGATGCAACGTCCCAGCAATTCCAGGAACAGCTGTTAAAAATTGACCACTGTCTGGAAAATCTTCCAGCTCCTGCACCCAACATCTTGCTCCTGGGGGATTTCAACTTAAGGCACCTAAAATGGAGGAATATAGCAAATAATATTGTTACAGTAATAACACAAGGAGGCAGCACTGATGAAAACTCATACTCACACGAGCTTTTAAATCTCTGCACAAAATTCAATTTAAACCAGCAAATAATGGAGCCTACTAGACTGGAGAATACACTAGACCTCATCTTCACTAACAATGATGATCTGATAAGAAATGTCACCATATCAAAAACAATATAATCAGCTCACAACATAATTGAGGTTCAGACATGTATGCGTGGAGCCCCAGACCGACATAATGAGACTAGTCACGAGGGAGCATTCACCAAATTCAACTTCAATAACAAAAACATAAAGTGGGACCAAGTAAACCAAGTCCTAACCGATATAAGCTGGGAAGATATACTAAGTAACACAGACCCCAACTTATGCCTAGAACAGATTAACTTGGTGGCACTCGATGTATGCACAAGGCTTATTCCTCTAAGAAAAAAGGAGGAGAAGATGTAAAACAGAAAGAGACAGGCGCTCCCTTTACAGGCGACGGAAAAGAATAACAGAGCGGCTAAAAGAGGTCAATATATCTGAAATGCGTAGGGAGACACTGGTCAGAGAAATAGCAAGCATCGAACTTAAGCTAAAGGAATCTTATAGGAGTCAGGAATCGCGGGAAGAACTAAAAGCGATAAATGAAATCGAAAGAAACCCAAAGTATTTCTTCTCCTATGCCAAATCAAAGTCGAGAACAACGTCCAATATTGGGCCCCTACTTAAACAAGATGGGTCCTACACAGATGACAGCAAGGAAATGAGTGAGCTACTCAAGTCCCAATATGACTCAGTTTTTAGCAAGCAGCTAACCAGACTGAGAGTCGAAGATCAAAATGAATTTTTTATGAGAGAGCCACAGAATTTGGTTAACACAAGCCTTTCCGATGTTATCCTGACGCCAAATGACTCCGAACAGGCGATAAATGACATGCCCATGCACTCTGCCCCAGGGCCAGACTCATGGAACTCCGTGTTCATCAAGAACTGCAAGAAGCCCCTATCACGAGCCTTTTCCATCCTATGGAGAGGGAGCATGGACACGGGGGTCGTCCCACAGTTACTAAAAACAACAGACATAGCCCCACTCCACAAAGGGGGCAGTAAAGCAACAGCAAAGAACTACAGACCGATAGCACTAACATGCCATATCATAAAAATCTTTGAAAGGGTCCTAAGAAGCAAGATCACCACCCATCTAGAAACCCATCAATTACACAATCCAGGGCAACATGGGTTTAGAACACGTCGCTCCTGTCTGTCTCAACTATTGGATCACTACGACAAGGTCCTAAATGAACTAGAAGATAAAAAGAATGCAGATGTAATATATACAGACTTTGCAAAAGCCTTCGACAAATGTGACCATGACGTAATAGCGCACAAAATGCGTACTAAAGGAATAACAGGAAAAGTTGGTAGATGGATCTATAATTTCCTCACTAACAGAACACAGAGAGTAGTCGTCAACAGAGTAAAGCCAGAGGAAGCTACGGTGAAAAGCTCTGATCCACAAGGCACAGTACTCGCTCCCATCTTGTTCCTCATTCTAATATCCGACATAGACAAGGATGTCAGCCACAGCACCATGTCTTCCTTTGCAGATGACACCCGAATCTGCATGACAGTGTCTTCCATTGCAGACACTGCAAGGCTCCAGGCGGACATCAACCGAATCTTTCAGTGGGCTGCAGAAAACAACATGAAGTTCAACGATGAGAAATTTCAATTACTCAGAAATGGTAAACACGAGGAAATTAAATCTTCATCAGAGTACAAAACAAATTCTGGCCACAAAATAGAGCGAAACAACAACGTCAAAGACCTGGGAGTGATCATGTCGGAAGATCTCACCTTCAAGGACCATAACATTGTATCAACCGCATTTGCTAGAAAAATGACAGGATGGATAATGAGAACCTTCAAAACTAGGGAGGCCAAGCTTATGATGACACTCTTCAGGTCACTTGTTCTATCTAGGCTGGAATATTGCTGCACACTAACAGCACCTTTCAAGGCAGGTGAAATTGCTGACCTAGAAAATGTACAGAGAACCTTCAAGGCGCGCATAACGGAGATAAAACACCTCAATTACTGGGAGCGCTTGAGGTTCCTAAAACTGTATTCCCTGGAACGCAGGCGGGAGAGATACATGATTATATACACCTGGAAAATCCTAGAGGGACTAGTACCGAACTTGCACACGAAAATCACTCACTACGAAAGCAAAAAAACTTGGCAGATAAAGCAAAAACCCCCAATGAAAAGCAGGGGTGTCACTAGCACGTTAAGAGACCGTACAATAAGTGTCAGGGGCCCGAGACTGTTCAACTGCTTCTCAGCATACATAAGGGGGATTGCCAACAGACCCCTGGCAGTCTTCAAGCTGACACTGGACAAGCACCTAAAGTCAGTTCCTGACCAGCCGGGCTGTGGCTCGTACGTTGGTTTGCGTGCAACCAGCAGCAACAGCCTGGTTGATCAGGCTCTGATCCACCAGGAGGCCTGGTCACAGACCGGGCCGCGGGGGCGTTGACCCCCGGAACTCTCTCCAGGTAAACTCCAGGTATACAGTACTGGTTCAGACTTGCTATACAGTAAAGTTCAGACATGCTATACAGTACTGGTTCAGACTTGCTATACAGTACTGGTTCAGACTTGCCATACATACCAGCAGAAGAACAAGTTGAATGATCGAATCCTCATGTTAGGAGTCGTGAGGAGGTCAATCACACTCTTCATGCTTGTACCTTCGTGTTGACAATCCTTCTCCAGGTCTTCCTTGATGTTAGAGACTAACACAGTGTCAGCTGAAGAGGGAACCTGGCAGAAATTATTACAAATCTGTGGTGAAAATGAAAGGTTTCTAAATTACAAGAGTCAAATAATATATGGTATAAACAAATATATTAGCTAAATAAATTACTTCTTGTTAAGCAGAATTTAGGCCTCCCATTAATTTTTTTTTAATATTAGTGATTTGAAATAATTTGTTCAGTATGTATTACCTCCATGTTGTCATCATCACCCAGATGTATCCGAATGTCAACATCATTGACTCTGGCAGCTCTCTCTAAAACCTTCTTGGCCTCGTCATTGAGACCCTGGGAAACTAACCATCGAAAACTCTCCGGCATTAACCTATAGAAACCCAAAATCTTTAAGAAAGTGAAAATGTAAGTAACAGTACCCTTTTTAAGACAAAATAAAAAAAATCCACGGGTGGGGATAGAACCCGCGATCAGATCGATGGTTCTAACCCCGCCCGTGAGACTTATTATTATATTCGCAAGTGCTAAACCCGTTGAGGCTATGCAGCCCCTGGTGAATAACAGTTAATCTCAGGTAATAAAAGGAATGTGAAGGTAAGACTGACTTATACTTTATTGAATTAGTTTCTGTAAATTAATACAGAAACATTATTGAGTAAAAGTGTTTTTAGTATGACAGGAAAACATTCACATGTTCACTGTTTTGTTTATGATAATAAAGAATTAATTATTCTCCCAACAATTAATACTATAGATTAATTGGGATAATTACCAGCGATAAAATAATCGCTCCCAGAGATGATGCCTCAGTTTATGTACTAAGAAGGGCAGCACACTCCAGGGCATCAATCGTAGGGCAGCACACTCCAGGGCATCAATCGTAGGGCAGCACACTCCAGGGCTTCAACCTTCCAACTGATAACCCAATCATAGGGCAGCACACTCCAGGGCATCAACCTTCCAACTGATAACCCAATCATAGGGCAGCACACTCCAGGGCAAACAACCTTCCAACTGATAACCCAATCATACGGCAGCACACTCCAGGGCATCAACCTTCCAACTGATAACCCAATCATAGGGCAGCACACTCCAGGGCATCAACCTTCCAACTGATAACCCAATCATAGGGCAGCACACTCCAGGGCATCAACCTTCCAACTGATAACCCAGTCATAGGGCAGCACACTCCAGGGCATCAACCTTTTCCCAAAAGATAACCAATCAAGGGCAGCACACTCAGGGCATCAACCTTCCAACTGATAACCCAATCATAGGGCAGCACACTCCAGGGCATCAACCTTCCAACTGATAACCCAATCATAGGGCAGCACACTCCAGGACATCAATCTTCCAACTGATAACCCAATCATAGGGCAGCACACTCCAGGACATCAATCTTCCAACTGATAACCCAATCATAGGGCAGCACACTCCAGGGCATCAACCTTCCTATTGATAACCCAATCGTAGGGCAGCACACTCCAGGGCATCAACCTTCCTATTGATAACCCAATCGTAGAGCAGCACACTCCAGGGCATCAACCTTCCTACTGATAACCCAATTGTAGGGCAGCACACTCCAGGGCATTAACCTTCCTACTGATAACCCAATTGTAGGGCAGCACACTCCAGGGCATCAATCTTCCAACTGATAACCCAATCATAGGGCAGCACACTCCAGGGCATCAATCTTCCAACTGATAACCCAATCATAGGGCAGCACACTCCAGGGCATCAACCTTCCTATTGATAACCCAATCGTAGGGCAGCACACTCCAGGGCATCAACCTTCCTATTGATAACCCAATCGTAGAGCAGCACACTCCAGGGAATCAACCTTCCTATTGATAACCCAATCGTAGGGCAGCACACTCCAGGGCATCAACCTTCCTACTGATAACCCAACTGTAGGGCAGCACACTCCAGGGCATCAACCTTCCTATTGATAACCCAATCGTAGGGCAGCACACTCCAGGGCATCAACCTTCCTATTGATAACCCAATCGTAGGGCAGCACACTCCAGGGCATCAACCTTCCTACTGATAACGCAATCATAGGGCAGCACACTCCAGAGCATCAATCGTAGGGCAGCACACTCCAGGGCATCAATCGTAGGGCAGCACACTCCAGGGCATCAATCGTAGGGCAGCACACTCCAGGGCTTCAACCTTCCAACTGATAACCCAATCATAGGGCAGCACACTCCAGAGCATCAATCGTAGGGCAGCACACTCCAGGGCATCAATCGTAGGGCAGCACACTCCAGAGCATCAATCGTAGGGCAGCACACTCCAGGGCATCAATCGTAGGGCAGCACACTCCAGGGCATCAATCGTAGGGCAGTTAATGTTGTAAGAAGCAGAAATTTATGAGGCAATAACGTTATTTCCAGCGGGTTGAAAGTTCAGTGTGCCAGGAACTGAGACATCTAGCAAGCGTGCTTGATTATTATTGTTATTATTATTATTATTATTATTATTATTATTATTATTATTATTATTATTATTATTATTATTATTATTATTATTATTATACCCAAGGACACACGATGGTGTGGCTGACTCTAGGCTAATTTCATTCTACTTCCTGTTTGGTGTACTAGTACAACGAGCAGTATTTTATTTTATTGTGCCCACGAACAAGTGGGTTCGAGTCCTTGGCTAGTCACAGTGTTGTTGTTGATCAATACCACTTGTTCGTGGGTACAATAATATAAAACACTGCTCGTTGCACTAGTACGCCAAACGGGACTAGAATGAAATTAGCCTAGAGTCACCCACACCAACGTGTGTCTGGGTAGCGAGTACAACATCTAATTCCGCTGGATGCGCTGCTCTTAAGGAGTCTGTGGTCCCGTGGATTAAGGCGTCACGAGTTTTCACCCACCATGAGGCAGGCCAAAGCAGCGTGGGTTCGAGACCTTGGCTAGTCGCAGTGTTGTTATTAATCAATACCGCTTGTTCGTCGTTACAATCATATATGTATATATATATATATATATATAATATATATATAATATATAATATATTTTAAATATATTTATATATATATAATATATATATATATAAAATATATATATATGTCGTGCCGAATATGTAAAACTGGTCAATTAGCAAGAACTCATTTAAAATTAAGTCCTTTCTGAAATTTTCTCTTTCCCTTTTAAAGATATATTTTTTAATTAATGTTCATGTAAAAATTTTAATTTTGCCCCAAAAAAAATTTTAGAAAACAAACCCTAAACCAATTTAACAAGAGAAATTTATTTTACCTAACCCAATAAATATTTTTTAAAATACTTTTAAAAATAATTTGTACTAAACAAACCAAAAAAATATTTTTTTTCGTTAGGTTCAAAAAAGATTTTGGCAAAATTATTGCATACAAAAATTTTTCACTTGTCCTTAGGGAAAGCGAGCGTTGCTTTTTAAAGCCAAAGACGCAAGTTCGCCTATCGGCAGAATTAATTATATATATATATTTATATTAAAAAAAGGTAGTAGGTGGTAGACAGCAACCCCCCAGGGAGGTACTACCTTTCCTGCCAAGTGAGTGTAAAAAAAAAAGCTGTAATTGTTTACATGAGGGTAGGTTTGCTGGTGTTTTTTGTCTGTTCATAAATATCAGATTACGGGTACGTCTTCTACTTCTACTTACATTGGGTCCATACATACATGTAACTTTATTTATACCACTATCTGATTTTCTTTGATTTTATCTTAAATAGTTCTTGTTCTTTTTTTCTTTCCTTTTATACCCATGGGGAAGTGGAATAAAATCTCTCTTCAGTAACTCATGGGTTTTGTAAAAGTCAACAAAAATCCCGGGAACAATGGGCTAGAAACCCCTTTTTCCCGTAAAAAATTACTAAAAAAAATAATTAAAAAAATTGTCAAAGGGGGAAGTCTAAATTGCGGGGATGTTTGGGTGACAAGAAAGAGAGATTTTTTTATAAAATAAAAGAAGCTAAATGTCCTGCTTTAAGTGAAACAAAATAAAAAGGGTGGGGGGGAGTTTCAGGGGAGGGGAATAAAGGGGGATTAGGGGGGGTTTCAAACAGAGTTTAGCAAAGAAGGAGAACAAAATTAAAGGGATAAGCTATGGCAGGAAAAAAAGGGACAAAAATGTAGAAAATAAAGGATTATGTGGAGAAAAATAAAGGTTTGGATGTGAAAGGGGGGTTATAGAAAGCGTATATGTACCGGGAGAAAAAAAAAGAGTGAGGAAAAAGAGAGGATTTTGGGGAAAAAAATTTTGGTGAATCCGGGGGAGTTTTGAGCCAATTTTGAGTTTCTTGGGGTTGGTTTTCAATGCTAAAGTGAAAAAGTTTTGTGGAGGGAGTAGTAGGTAAATTGGGGGTTTCGGGGGTAAATAAAAAATGGGGAGCCTTTAATTGAGCTATGGTAGAAAGAGGTTGGTAATAAGAAATACATTTTTTTATGAAAAGGGGATAAAAAAATATAAAAGGTTGTAAGCAATAATAAAAGATTTATCGATTATGTATTTTTGGAAAAAAGGTTGAGGGGTAGGCTACAGGATGTACACGTTTATAAGGGGCCCTGATATATCGAATCATTTTTAGTTGTAGCTCAGTTAGAGAAAGGGTAGATGGGGAAAAGGGAAAAATGACAAAACAAGAAAGGGGGGTAAAAGTGTATAAACATAGGGGGGAGGAATTTTGGGGTGGATATAAGAAATTATTGGCAAAAATGGGGGCTGGAGCAAGACGAGTGGGGGGGGGGATTTGAAGAAGGTTTGGAATAGTTTTAAAAATGCAAATATTAGAAGTGGGGTAGAAGTTTGTGGTTTAGGGGGGGGGGTGCAGGAGAAAAAAGGGGTGATTTGGGTTTAATGATGAAGTAAGGGTGTGATTTAAAAAAGGAAAAAAAATTACTTACGAGAGGTTTTTTCAAAGCACAAAGGGTTTTACAAAGAGAGAGATATGCAGAGTAAAAAAAAGTGAAAAAAAGTGGTGAGAGAGTGCAAAAGGGGAGCAAAAAGGGTGGGAAGAGGCACGTCTGAAATTTGAATGAAAATAAGAAAAAAAAAATTTGGGGCGAGTTTTAAAAAAGAAGAAAGCCCAGGGAACGAATGGTATGCAATTAAAAACAGGTTGGGGAGTTAGTAATGGGGGGATGGAGGTTTGGGTAGATGGCGAGAAAAATTTTTAGGGAAATTTTAAATGTCGACGAAGAAAGGAGGCGGTAATTTCTGCACGGCCCGGGGGGTTAAACCCCTTTTTGGAGTGAAGAAGAGCAGAAGTAAATGGGGGGAGGTGCTGATGCATTAGAGAATGAAAGGGGGGAAAGCACTGGAATGAAGGTCATACAGAAATGTTAAAAACGGGGGAATTAGTGTTGGAGTGG